GGGGAGGGAGGCGTCAGAGTGGGTGGCGTTGGTTTGTTTCCATGGTGATGGGGGGAGGAGGAGGAGGCGGTGGGGAAGGAGGACCGCAGTCATGGAAGGATGCGCCCGGCGGGGGGGAGAAGAGATGGAGATGCTCGAAGGAGCCCGGGCTGCAGGGATGCCCCGGGGTGGGGTGGGGGGGGAGATGCCCGCCTTACAGGATGGGGAAATGCCAGGATACGGGCGGACTGCTGCCGGCTCGTTTCCCCGGGGCCAGGGCCACGGCGGAGGGCGGCTGCGGACCCGCAGGGCCGAGCGAGGGGGGGGGGAGAAGCCGGGCAGGGCTGGGAGGGGTCGGGACCGGGTACCTGCGGCGGCTCCCGGGCGCTCCGTCCCCGCGATGGCCGACGGCAAAGCCGAAAAAGAGGCGGCGGCGGAGAGGCGGAGCCTTTCTGAGCCAGCCCGGCCGCGCATGCGGCCCTTTGACAGCCACAGCCGCCGCTGCCGCCTCTCCCCTGGACGGCGCGTTCACACGTTCGGCCCCGCCCGTTGCCAGGCCAAGCGGGAGGCGGTTAGGGCGCTGAGCAGCGCCGGCGTTTCAGACTCTCTTCTCCTAAAGCTCGCGTTTGGCTTCCGCGGTTAGGGTTGCCAGCAGTGCCGGATTTATGCATAAGATAAATAAGCTACAGCTTAGGGCCTCACAATCCGCTGGGGCCTCAAATAAAAACACAATATAAAAAAATGATTTCAAATATTAAAAAGGCGTATATATTTTAAATTTTTCTGAGACCAGCTGATGTAATTTAAAACAGTAGGGGGCCTCTGGGTTTTGTATAGCTTAGGGCCTCAGCAAGTCTAAATCCCCTCAGCAAGCCTAAATCCGGCCCTGGTTGCCAGGTCCCCCTTGGCTCAACGGCGGGGGATATGGGGGGGTGGGGGTAGGGTTGCCAGCAGTGTTCCCTCTAAGCTGAGTTCGTGTGAGCTAGCTCACAGTTCTTTAGCCTCCAGTTCACACATTTTTGTCTGAGCTCAGGAAGGAGGGCTCCAGGGCAAACTAATTTAAGCAGTAGCCAAATCGCTCGCTCACAACTTTCATGCCAGCAGCTCACAAAGTACAATTTTTGCTCACAAGAACCCACAGCTTAGAGGGAACATTGGTTGCCATATTCGGGCTGGGAAACTCCTGGAGATTTGGGGGCGGAGCCTGGGGGGGCAGGGAACTCGGTGGGGTAAAGTGCCATAGAGTGCCATCCTCCAAAGCAGCCGTTTTCTCCAGGGGAACTGATCTCCCTAGTGTGGCGATAAGCCGTAATTCCGGGGCATCCCCAGGTTCCACCTGGAGGTTGGCATCCCTACTTCCAGTGCCAAGAAGGCAAGGCCAAAGGCTCCGGGGCGAGTGTGGAGTGCGTCTTCCTTCCTGACCAAGAGGTTGCATGCAAGGAAAGGCTGGAGAGGACCTTCCCCAAGAGAGATGGGGGGGGCCTTCCTCAGAAAAGATACAGGGCTACTGTGGTTCTTGAGGACTCTGATTATTATTATTATTATTATTATTATTATTATTATTATTATTATTATTATTATTCCAGCTGATTTATACTGACCCCCTCATGGGGTTTTCAAGGGGAGACAATTTCAGAGGAAGAGGAGAGGAAGAAGGGTTGGCTTTTATAACCCACTTTTCACTACTCAAAGGAGTCTCAGAGCGGCTTACAATCTCCTTCCCTTCCTCTCCCCACAGCAGACACCCTGTAAGGGAGGTGGGGCTGAGGGAGCTCTGAGAGAACGGCCCTTGAGAGAACAGCTCTGAGAGAACTTGTAACTGACCCAAGGTCGCCCAGCAGCTGCATGAGGAGGAGTGGGGAGTCAAACCCGGTTCTCCAAAGTAAAGTCGGCTGCTCTTAACCACAACACCAAACTGGCTCTCAAGGAGTATCTGAAGAAGTGAGCAGCGACTCACGAAAGCTCATCCCCTGCCACAAATTTTGTTCGTCTTTGAGGTGCGACTGGACTTTTGCTCTTTGCTGCTGCTACAGACAGACTGACACGACTGCCCATCTTGATGTATCTCAGAAGTGGAACTAAGTTTGAGCCCTGTGGCGCCTTTAAGACCAACAGATTTTAAGTCTGGGCATAAGCTTTTGTGTACATGCACACTTCGTCAGATAACAGAGGTGGTGTGCCATTGCCTGCCTCCACCCTGGACTTCCTTGCTGGGAGGGCGAGGTAGAAATGTAATAATAAATAAATAAATAAATAAATAAATAAATAAGAACCCTGCTGGATCCGACCAGTGGTCCCTCTAGCCCAGCATCCTGTCTCACACAGTGGCCAACCAGTTCCTCTGGATGGCCAACAGCAGGGCAAAGACACT